GTCTGTCTGTATGTCCACCTGACCCTTGGGGTGCTGATGCCTTGGGGGACACAGATGAATCAGGAGTTCTCAGGCTAGAAGCAGTGTTGAGACAAGTGCTGGTGACATCAGATGGCCTCTGATACGAGGCCTGAGAGATACAAGGAAATTGCTCCGAGGGGAGAGGAAGAGGGCAGCGTGGGGCTGGGACAGGCCCAAGGCTCCCATGATTGGCCAGTCACCTTTCCTGGGCTGTAGGAGGGGGGAAGAGTTTGGGGATCTTGAAGCAAAACCCATCTCTCTGCAGACATGACCTTCATCCATGAAGGAAACCACACATTGGTAGAGAATCTCATCAACTTTGAAAAGATGGTGAGTTCAAGGAGAGTGGGCATCTGCTCCTAGAGTGGGTTTGAGATATAGCTGTGTCCTTGGAAGGGAGTGGGGGGCGGGAGGTGACCTAAAGTCATTGTTAATAATACAAGGATGAATGTCTGTCTGTATGTCCACCTGACCCTTGGGGTGCTGATGCCTTGGGGGACACAGATGAATCAGGAGTTCTCAGGCTAGAAGCAGTGTTGAGACAAGTGCTGGTGACATCAGATGGCCTCTGATACGAGGCCTGAGAGATACAAGGAAATTGCTCCGAGGGGAGAGGAAGAGGGCAGCGTGGGGCTGGGACAGGCCCAAGGCTCCCATGATTGGCCAGTCACCTTTCCTGGGCTGTAGGAGGGGGGAAGAGTTTGGGGATCTTGAAGCAAAACCCATCTCTCTGCAGACATGACCTTCATCCATGAAGGAAACCACACATTGGTAGAGAATCTCATCAACTTTGAAAAGATGGTGAGTTCAAGGAGAGTGGGCATCTGCTCCTAGAGTGGGTTTGAGATATAGCTGTGTCCTTGGAAGGGAGTGGGGGGCGGGAGGTGACCTAAAGTCATTGTTAATAATACAAGGATGAATACTTCTTTTAATGTATTCACTCCCTTGCGTGCTGGGGAAGACAGCCTTAATGACCTCACCCGGCAAACAGAGCCCAAAGCCCTCCCTAATCTCTGTTCTTTCTCCCACTGCCTGGTCACCTGGCAGTTAGGGTTAGGATCAGGGCAAAGCAGATACAGCCCCATCTAGTTCCTAGGAACACCCCCACTCAAAGGGGTCTTGGTTTGCAGCCGCCCCATTGGCCATGCCAGGGTCCTGCCCCTCAGGCCTGGTCTTGTGTCCTTACTTTGCCCACAGAGAATGATGGCCAGAGCCGTGCGGATGTTGCAACACTGCCGAAGCCACAGCAATGGTGAGGAGCTGGTCCCCTGCCCCCGCCCCTCTAGAATCCACATTCCCACCCCCCACCCCCACCCCTGCCCCTCCAGGCTCTGGTTGGGCCCTGTCTCCCTGACTCCTGCCTCTCTCCCCGCCCAGTGCCACTGTCGCCACTCAGAAGCCGAGTATCCCACCTCCACGAGGACAGCCAGGTGGCGAGGATGTCCACGTGTAAGTGGGGCAGGGCTGGGCGCTGATAGGGTAGCCTTGGCTGGTGTTTCCCTGCACCTGCGTGTAGGATGCTGTGAACTCTTCACCCCACCGCTCTGAGGAAGCTAGAACCTTCTCCCAACTTAAAGACATGTGAACAGGCTTGAGCCCTGAAGTCACCTGTGGAAGGCTGGGGCAGAGTGATAGAGCTGGGCCCCAGACCAGGGGTCCGCTTACCCCAGACCCGATTTTTTTTTTTAATTGGTCTGCAGTCACGTGAAGTGGGATTAATCAGAGTCCACGGTTTATCCAGCGCTGTCATTGTTGGCCCTTTATTTTACGTATGTATCTATTGGGATCATAGAACGAACACTGCTGGACCCATGCCAAGTGTGTGCACAGACAATAGCTCCCTCTCCCTGCATATTCCTCTGTCCTTGTGGGCCGCCATAATACAGTGACACAGCTAAATTTATATGGACAGACACGCATACACCTAGAGCTTTTAAAATGCTTCATAGATTTATGATGACCACAAAATTCTTCAGTTGCCGTTGCTTTTGAATTCAGTGAAAGGGGTGTTATGCAGTACGAAATCTTGGGGACCTGTTTTTCGGAGTCTGAGCCCTTCCCCACACCTCTGCTCCAGACCGGAGGGCAGACTGGCCACTAGCTGGGCTGTGGGAGCTGGCAGGGTGGGGGGCGGAGGGCGGCAAGGCTCATCTGCTCCTTTTTGGTGGGGGTGGGCAGGCATGGGCGCTACAAAGCGGCGGCTGTCCTCCCCTGACCACTCTCCCTCCCATCTTCCCGGCAGGCTCTGAGCAGTCCCTGAGCACCCGCAGTCCGGCCAGCCCCTGGGCTTATGTCCAGCAGCTGAAGGTCATCGACAACCAACGGGAACTGTCCCGCCTCTCCCGGGAGCTGGAGCCGTGAGGCAGCTGGGGCTGGAGCAGGCACTTCTGGTCAGGAAAGCCAGGGCCCGCCCGGGGCCAGGAGGCCCGCAGGCCAGTGGCAGCTGGGCAGGGCTCTCCCGAGTGGACTCACGGCCCTGGAGTGGGCGGCATGGAGGCGGCTATCCCCCGTGATGACAGACGGCCAAGGAGGACCTCGGAGTGGAATGAGCTGGGGCCCAAGGCCAAGGAATGGGGGGCAGAGAGGCCCTGGAGCGGGCGGGAGAGCAGAGCAGGCGCTGGAACTCGGTTCAATAGAGAGCTCTCCACACCACGTTTTTCCCAGAGTCTGTGAGTCTGTGGCTTTGTCCTCAGGCCATCTCCAGGCGCTTTGTTTTCATGGTGGACAGAGGGAGCAGGTCCCATCTGTGTGGCGGGTGTGCAGGCCGGGGCAGGGCCGGTGTGGCCCGGGGAGGGGTGAGGGAGGAGGGCCCCTGCTGGTCTTCCCAGAGCACAGGAACAGGAGATAAACAGTTGGGTGTGGCAGGGCCTGTTTGTATGGGAGGGGTGACCCCTGAGGAGCCTTACCGTTAACAGAAATGACCGGGGATGCTGTATTCCGAGGCCAGCCCTGTGGGGTGTGTCAGTGAAGAGCTGGGGCAGAGGTGTTGTCTCTGGAGTGGACCCAGGGAGGCTGACAAGCGTTCCCACTGCTGTAGGGGGCTCTGGGAACCAGGCGGAGCGCCAAGACCGCTGACGGCCGGCCCCTGGCCGCAGCAGCTGCTGGGGCCTGGAGCCCCCGTCAGTGGCCAGCAGGGGTGACCCTTGGTTCTCCACTGTGGCCTGAGAGCTCCATTACAGACCAGCCACCACTGGCTCCTTCCACCCTCCCCTCCTGGCTGCGCTTGCTATCCCTCTGCCTGCAGCACGCCTCAGCCTGGTGGGTGGTCCTCTCCACAAACCCGAGGCCTCTAAGAAATGGCCACTTTGTGGACGGTGAGAGAAAGAGCACTGAGCCGGAGGCCTCTGAGGGGAGCCATCCCTTTTCCAGGCCTAGCAGGCTCCCAGGAAATCCAGTTTATTGAGAATGGTCCCAGCCAGCTCTGCCCACATTCAGTCCTTCCTCCCCTGCCCCTTCAGCACTCCTGTCCCACCCAGGGAGCTCCTCTGACGAAGTCCCAGGCAGGGCTTCCCTCCTCTCTCAGCTTCCTATGGTCCTGAACGTGGTAGGGGGAGGTTCACTGTCTGGTCTAGAGAGAGGGAAACCTCTTGGTCTTGGGGAATGACCTCAGAGTAGGCATTGAGCGGCAGGGCCTGAGGGCTTCTGGAGGAAGTGGGCCCCTTCCTGGAGGCCAAGGAGGCAGCTGGTGTGACCCCGTACCGGCTCAAGTCCACCTCCTCTAACCCCTGCTTTGCCAGACCTCTTATCCTAGTGGTCAGGGACACACATGCAAACTGTTCCCAGAGAGAATTAGAACCTTTTGCAGGAAGCAGCATAGCTGGGATTACACCTCAGGTTTCTGAGAGAATCCCAGCAAGTTAAGGAACAGTTCCCTGCCTCCATTTCTCCATCTGTAAAATGGGTATGATGATCTCAGTCCAGCCCTTTGTGACAAGTCGAACCATAGCTCGGCCTCCAGAGCCACAGAGACAGCCTTGGCAGTCTGGTGTCCTCAGCCTGTCGGGGTGGGTAGAGAGCACCCAAACCCAGCCTTGAGTGAAGCTGGGCAGAACCCACTCCTCCAGGGAGAGCCTGAGTAGAGCAGATGACAGGGTAACCAAGCCAGTTCCCTTGCCTATGGGTGGAGATGCAAGACCACGGGGCATGGAAGCTTCCAGAGCTGAGCAATTATGACATGAGGCCCAAGCCTTGGTGAGTCAGGACTCCCAGGGGCTCTCTTCCGTCTGAAACCCATTGTCTGATGAGGTTTTGGCCAAGAGCAGACCAGCCCGCCGGCCATAGCCCTTCACCATCCTTTCAGACTCCAGAGTGAGACATGCCTTCCAACAATAAAATGGAAGCCAAGCGTGGTCAGGACTGGTATCCTCCGTCAGCATTTCCATTTTCCTTCTCTGTGGTCACACCTATGTCCTGAAGGAACTTTGGCAGCACACACACCTTCCTTGCGCCTTGGACCGCCCTACAACCTCCCAGCTGCCTCAGTCTCTGGGGTACACCTTCTGAGCCTACTGGGAGAGGCCCAGCCAGGAAAACAGTGCCCAGGACGGGCAGGAGGACACAGGTTGGGCACTGGAGACGCTGCTGACTGGGCTGGGTCACCACAGAGGAGGGAAAGGTTCTGGGTCATGGTGGCTTCTTGCTCTGAGGGCCACGTCAGCTTCTATCTGCCTGACAGCCGAGGCATGGGGTGGGTGGGAGGCATCTTCCCGTGCCATGTTCCAGCAGCCCAGGCTGCCTGTAGGGGACTCCCAGTTAGTGTCCCAACTTCAGGACAGCTGTGACGGGAGAAGGAACTCATGGCACTGCTGGGAGAAGAAAGTGTAAGATGAGGCCTTAAATAAGTCTCTTACCTAAAAAGAGGGAAAGCAGGGAAGAAAGTGTGTGTGTGTGTGTGTGCGTGAATGTGCGTGAGTGTGCGTGGGCACCTGTGCCCCACGCACGAGGGAGAACAGAACGGAGCAGGTGATTCCTCCTCTCAGATACACACACATACTTACCCATCACTCCTCCCCTACCCCTCCCCTATCCCAGCTTCCCTGGGAAAGCCAGGACGCTAATTGTGAGGTAGACACCAGGGAGGGTCATGCCTCTCCAGCAGACTGAGCAGGATCTGGTGAGAGGGGAGGGCAGCCTGGGAGCCCGACTGTCTGACCCTCTGGCTGCCCCAGCTCTCTCCTCCCTGGGAGCCAGCCTCCCCCACCAGCCCTGGGCCTCTGGCCGCCAGGCTTCCCAAGCTGCAAAGATTAGTCTTTTTAATATTGCTGTTATTCATAGTACTTATCATGCTGATAGGCTTCGATGTGAATAGTTTCCATCCTTTCCAGCATACTTCAGCCTCTATTATTTTTATATGGAGAGTAGAGCACATATTTTTACCCCCGTCCCCATTTTATAGTCAAACTGAGGCCCAAAATGATTTGCCTGAGGTGGCGTAGCTGGCTAATAAGCAGGTGGACTGGTGAGGACTGGGGTGTGTACCTGCTGGTCCCGTGCTGCGGTCCTTTGCTCACCCCTGCCCTTTCCTCGTGCCCCTGGCGCCCCAGGTACAATCTCCCCGAACCCAGGCATTTTCTTCTCTTAGAGAAATAGGTCCAGGCATGTACGTTCCCTGCACACCCCCACAACTTCATTCTCAAAATCTTATGTAGTAGGGGCTCTGTGAATGGGACAGGCGGTCCTGGCCTTCCTGGAGCAGACCTCCCCGCCTCGCAGACAGATCCAGAGCCAGGCTGTCAGAGAGAGCGGATGCCACAGAGCGCAAGCCCAGGGAGGAGTGGATCCCTACGGGATCTTACTGCTCGCCCCTAAACATTTAGGCATTGCTCTGCCTCCCGGTGTTGGGACTGCTCTCCCCTCAGCAGGGGTGCAAGCCCCCTGAGGATCCTGAGTATCAGACAGCTAGCGTGGCCAGCGGCTGGGCTGCTCTGACGGGGCAGTTGGCTCCCCCTTCCCTTCCATGGATGGATAGGCCAGAGCGTAAATGCATTTCCAAAATGTATCCTGGTACCCTGCCTCGTACAGGAGTGCTAGGCTTCTCACACAGTGGCCAGGGCCGGGGGATGGACCCAAGGTCCCAGCCTGTCCAGTTGCCCTGTACCTTCACCCCACCCAATCCAGGCACCCCTCTCTGAGATTCTGAACTCTCCAAGCCCCAAGCCCCAAGCCCCGCTGGACAGGACACCTGAGGACAAAGGGGCTTGTAGCCCCGGTGATGAGTGACTATCGGTTCCTCCCAGTGATGATGAAAGCTGATCCTCTGAGAAGCCGAGTCTGACTCAGCCGTGCTTTGAGAGTATCTTCTTGGCCATGCTGGGGGCCTTCCTGGAGCAGGTGGCCTTGCCGGGGCCAGAAGGACTGCTGTTGCTGGTGGTAGGTGGCACACTGGGGAAGAGGCATGGACCCAGTGACCCCCAGAGGAAGAGGAGGTCTGAGCTCAGAGCCCAGATCCACTTTCTATTGGAAAGTGTGGAATTTCAGTTGTTCGTTCAGTTGTTCAGCCTTTGACCCATGTGGACCCTGGGTGAAGAGCCCTACGCTTACGGCCTCGTCTGACTCTGCCTGACACATTCTTGGCCCTTGGGGAGAACTCAGGGCCTCTGTTTTCTTGCTGGGGTGTGAGTCGTGGGCAGACAGAGCCTTCTCTGGGTTGCCAAGTGGAGGAGAATGTAGGCTTTCCTGGCACTGAGGGGGACTGTAGCCAGCAGGGGGTGGAGAGAGGGTGACTTTTTGCTGGGGTCATGATAGCAAGGCATTTTTAGCTTACTCGGCCTCCCAGAAAAGCGCCCCATCAAGTCGAGTGGGAGGCGTGCAGGTGTGGGTCAGGGCCGTCCTCTGTGAGGGGCAGTGGGTCGAGCCCCCAGGAGCCTGGGCCTCAGCAGCCACATGGCCTCGACCTTGGGCAAGCCTCTTCCTCAAGGGTTTGGGGTATTCTCCCACTCTCAGTGTCTTGGCTTAAGCTGCTCAAGTCAACCAAAGAGAGGAGGGGGCACCAACCTCTCTCGGTCATAAAGCTGCTGACCCTCGGAGCATCTTCCCAGGGGTGGCCTCCGGCCAGGACCTCCTGAGGGAGGGAGCGCCAGCTGCAAGTCATTTTATTAGAAGGATTTCCAGAGAGTCCCCTACCCCTAAATATTACAGCCTACAGCCTCCCTGAATTCTAGTTGTCTCTACGCAGTCCTGTTATGTAAGTACGTACTTTGGGAAGATGCTAATGGTCTCATGGCCAAGATCCTCATCCTTCTAATGGCCACTTTAAGGGAGAAAAAGGAAAGGAAAAGCTCGAGGCAATGCATTAGGGGAATTTTGTTCCTCACTGAGGCTCCTAGCTCCCCTCTAGATCTGGCTTAGTCCTCTAGGTGGTGGCCCCACTCCCCAAAAATAAGTGGTCCCCTTTGGCAACCAAACCCGGTGAGCCAGACAGTGTGACTCACTGAGAGTCATCCCCCCAAACTGGGAAATACTCAAAAGTGAAATGCTTGAACATACTCAGAAGCACATTATATTCTTAAAATACAAATTTGGTTTTGCACTTATAAAAAGGAATCACATTATGAAGAGTTTAGAGAAACTGCCACTTTCTCATCCTTTGTGTTTGTCTTAAATGTCATTTTTTCACAGAGGCTTCCCTAACCATCCTATCCAAATTAGGTCTTTTGTGGCCCTGCCTTTTTATTTTTAATTGAAGTATAATTAACGTAGAGGGTTATATTAGTTTCAAGTGCACAGTATGATTCA